GGCCCCTGCCAGCTTCAGCACCAGCCTGGCAGCACGAGGGGCAGGGGGCACACAGCACCGGGCACTGCTCACCACCACCCTGCCGGGATACATCCCTCCCTCTGCCTCGGATCACCTCCTGCCCTGTCCCACCCTGGAGAGGAGCCAGAAGAGCCGTGGGGAAAACACAGTGGATTTCACAGAGCTGAATCGGTGTCAGCCCAACCCGAACAAAGAGCTGGAGACAATGCTGTGAAGTGAACAGGCTGTTTGCCATCTGCACGTCCAGCTGTGCCTGCAGAGATGCTGATCCTCATGCTTTGGGCTCCTTTTATGCTTGCATGGAGAGCCAGGGTAGGGAGAGCAGCTGGAACAGCCCAGTTCCCTTTCCCTCACAGCCAGTGTGAGAGGGGACCACGTGCTCTCACTCCTTCTACCTACCTGACCCTAAAACGAGCCCTAAAACCTCATTTTCCTCCCTGTGCAAGTGACTGATGTGATGTCTGTGCATGCAAAGCCTTGAGCCTTCAGCAGAAAAAATCCACGCTCAACCTCCAAAGCCTGGAGGTGACTTCTCCAGGGTGTGTGAAGCCAATTCCATGCGCCTCTCACTCAGCAGCATCTCCTGTGCTGTGCAGCCTGGGGCTGGCAGTGCCTGCAGAGCAGCTCTGCAGCTCATCCTGCCCTCACTCCCATCCTCATGCAGCTCACAGATGGTGTGAGCAGCAACAGGCAATGCTCAGCCACAGACAGGGAGCAGGAATTGCTGGGACACTGTGGGATGAGAGGCAGGACAAGCTTCATGGCCTGGAAGGTGCAGGAAATGCCTGGATCCCCCACGCTCTGTCCATGAACTCACTGCATGCAAGTCTTGGCTCTGTCATTTCATTGCAGGCTAAGAAGTGAATAAAGAGTCTGCCTGGCTTGTTTCCAGCTTTGTTCCATGCACATCCCATGAAGGACCCATGGCTGGTTGCTGGAGAGCAGCAGGAGGTGCAAAGGTCAGCACAGCTGCTCCATGTCCCACCCAAGGAGCTGAGACACAGGGGGTGGTGGCAGTGAGGGGGACAAGAGGCAGAGGTGGGACTGATGTGCAGACACAGGGGCAGAGTCCTAGGATTGCATTTACCTGAGCTTCCAGGAAGGGATTTGCTCAGCTCTGAGCTGTGCTCTTTCGAAGACACTGGCACAATTGCCACTGCAGGAGAGATTCCCTCTCTGGAGAGCTGGAATGCTCTCACACTGCTCCCTTGTTCTGTGGGGATGGACCTGACACAGCCCTGTGAGCTGACACTTGGAGCTCTCTGTCACTGATCAATATTTACTCACTCAGTTGCCAAGAGGCTCCTGGTAGCTGAGAGAGGGGTGAGGAATTTCAATAATCCTACGAAGAGCAGAGGCAAGTGTTAAAAAGAAGGAGAAAAACCCAAGCATATGCCTCACCCAGGGCCAGTTCCCAGTGGCAGCAAACTGGGATCTGGGAAGAGAGGGAGCAGATGGAGCCTCAGACTATGGAGCTATTTTTGTGTTTTGTTTTGAAGTTCCAATCTTTCATTGTGCAGAGTGAGAAACCTCCAGGGTGAGAAGGGGAAGGCAACAGCTTGTAAACCACTGCCCTGACACACACTTGTCTTCACACCAACTGTGCAGAGCTCAAACCAGTGCAACGAGTTCCTGCCCAGACTGTGAGAAGGGAATTCTAGAAGTTATTTCTAAAAATCTCCAGCAGATTATAGCTGGTTAGTGAGGGGACCCAAACAATCACATTGGTGTCTTAACCCAAACCAGTTCACACACAATTAGATCATGAGACTGGTGCAGAGTTCTCTTTCCAGACCTGCCAAGGACCTTGTGAAAAGCTGAGAGGAGTCACATGTCCTGAGCTGGATCCTTTCTCTTTGTAGAGTGGAGAAAAAACTATTCCCCAGGAGGCTTTGAAGCTAAAACAGAGTTTGTGACACAGTTTGGGGTGAAACACACTGAGAAAAACCACAGGAATTCTTTTATCAGCTACAATCTGGTGGAAGAGAGAGAGAGAGACACAGTCAAACCTCCAGGCAGGCAATTCTCCATCCACATCCCAGAGCAGCCAAAGGAAGTGCAGAATAAAAAGCACATGCTGGAAGTTTTTGTACCAGTAATAAAACATTTACTAGAGCAAGCAGAAAGTAAATGCACAGCTGATAAAGAAAACATCACAATGTCACAAAACCCTGACAGCTTCTGATACTTCCTTCAGTGGAAAGAGCCCGAGGTGGGTGCTGACATGTTTTGACAGCTCTTCCCTACCCTGTGGCAAAAAAAAGAGTTAAAAAAAAGGATAATACACACAAGTTAAAAATGGGCAAGCAAGATTTTACACTTTGACTACATGTGTCCAATACAGGGCCAGATTTGAGCTCTTTGATCCCATTCATTTATTTATTTTTTTTGAGTTCTCCCTAAAGGCTTCTGAGCAGCAGATCCCTGAATTTTGGAGTGAAGCCTCTTCCTTCAGCCACACTTCCTGGGGGGCTCCAGCCTCTGATTGTTGTGGTGTATCTACAGTGTTTTCCCTTTTGTGTGTCCAGTTTGAAGAAAGCACTCAGCCCTCTCAGAACAGAGGGTGCATAGGCACAGCAGAGAGACAGGATTGCTATGCAGCTTCCACCAGAATGAAGGGGACTAGGAAAGAGGTTCTTCCAGATGTAAAAAAAACCTGGGCAATGGGATTAGGATTGATGTACTGACCACAAAAATGCCAGGGAGTCCAACCTACACTACATGGGAACCTGTGGCTCGTTGGGTTGGAGAAGGATCTCTCCAACAGTCTCATGAAAATAAAAGGGAGAGAAAAATGGACTCGCTCCATCTCACCTTCAGCAATGCCAATGGATCCGTTCTCAGGGGATGGAGAGAGAAGGAAGGGGCAAAACCTGGAGGCCAAATGATTTGGGAATCAGGGAACACGTGAAAGGGAGATGGGGGAAGAACTCACCACACTGACCAAACTGCTGAGATTAATGTCTAACAGGAGAGTCCTGAGCATCTCTAGGTGGACTGGACTGGCTTGTAAAGGTGAACGCTGGTTAAGAAAAGACTAATTCATACTTCTATGGACAACAGTTCCTCAATGTTCCAAGGACATGAAACAGCTTCTTCTTGCCAAGAAGATGTTTAAATCCAGCAGAGTCACTCGAGTACTGTTTCAAGCAGAACCCAGGGAGCTTTATCAGAATGATTTCCTTGCCTAAGCGTTGTGTGTGCACAGCATCAGAGTGAGTCTGTGGCAGATGTGCTGCTCTGGAGGGTCCACGTGGATTCCTTCTGCTCCCCCAGCAGCTCAGCAACCAGTTCCCAAACCCCCCGAGAAATCCTCTGGGGAAAAAAAAAAGAGACAACACTACCTGCAGCGATTCCAGGCCGTGAAACCACAGCTCTTAACTGTCCCATCGGCTCTTCTTGCGCTTTGGGGGCTCTGGGACAGCAAACCCATCTGTCTTGTTGTCTCGGCTGGTGACATCCTTCCTGTTGTCCCCGTTCCTGCTCTCGGTGCTGTTCCTGCTGTCGCCGTTGTTGCGGTTCCCTGTGCCCATGTCCCCGTGGCGGTGGCTGTCGCGGTAAGGGTCACTGTGGCGGCCACCAACACTTTCCCCGTGGCGCTGCAGGTCATTGTAGCGACCACCTCCATCTCCACGGAGGCCTCCATCTCCATAACCATCTCCACGGCCACCTCCAAAGTCTCCACGGCCACCAAGTTCTCC